GGACTTTTGTGACTGACTCTTAGGGACGAATGCGCTTTAAATCGATTAAGGCTTGGCTGATCTCGACCTTGAGCCGTCATCCATGAGAAGTGGATGCCTGTTGGCTGAGAATTCGGAACCCAAACGCTCTCCGATCCCGGGCTCAAGCTCGGCATCCAACCAGTTTTACGCCTCTTGATGGACTGCGCTGCCTAGACGCGGTGACAGGCTATCGGTCACTCCCCACCTCGACACTCACCAAACACCGCCTGTCGGCCTTTCAGAGAAGCTCAAGTTCGCGCCGCGCCCGGTGAGCCGCGGTCTGGAGCTGGGCAAGCCTGGACGGCTGTACTGCCGGGCCTCCGGCAACACGCCGCCCACGGTGCGCTGGGTCAAGGTGGACCCGGACGGCCGGCCGCTGTTCGACTGGCAGCCGCACGTGCGCGACAACAACGGCACGCTGGTGTTCGACGTGGTGCAGGAGACGGACGGCGGACAGTACAGCTGCGTGGCCACCAACCCGCAGGGTCTCATCAACGCCACCATCAACGTCACTATCATAGGTGCGAGCCTCGGGTTCGTCTGGCGTGGGGGTGACGGACGGAGGGCTGGGCTGGCTTAGGCAGGATCGTGTGTGGGCTGGGCTGGGAGTGTGGACGGCGGAGTGGGGCCCGCTTAGGCGGGGTTGTGTGTGGGCCGGGCGAGGAGTGTGGACAGCGGGGCGGGGCGGGGCTGGCTCAGGCGGGGTTGTATGTGGGCTGGGCTGGGAGCCTCCATAATGTCTCTGTTTGTATGTAGATGCATGTGAAATGCTACTACGGTATGCGCGGGCACACAGGGTCATGCATCCAGGCAGTTAGGAATCCCAAGCCAATATTGTCAAGCTTAGAATATTTTTCAAGCCAACACTACATCTCTAAATACTACTTCATTGCTTGTCTATGAAAACCGAGTAAGGTGGTAGGATTCTTGAATATGTGTTTGATTTGCATCTGCTGCCGACTTTAACTCACCAGTTATATGAGTTTGTATGTAGTGCATAGATACTGACATCAGGGGTGTCACTTTCTAAATTTAGCTGGGGGGAGGGGGCGGGGGCTTAGCCAAAATGGTTGACCTAACCTACCACCACAGCCTGATCTCCCCAGATTTCGGCCTACTTCGAATCGGCGTCCTCGATGTCAAAATGTAATCTGATATTTTGTGGATTAAAAATCGTTGTTCTGCGGTGGAATGGCTATCATCTCAAGTAAATGTGACCTGCCTTTTTGTGTTGAGCTTAGAATGGGGTGTCCTGGACATGAAAAATGCAAATTTTCCTTAAGAAATCTTTATAAGGGATCCCTGATCACTACCGCTGTCGCTGATCGTGTTGTGTAAGCACAACAGCCACGATTATGCGACAACTACACTTGTCATTGGCCTGTTGGAAAAACATATGTCAGCTTTGCTTGGGCCGCCCTGTCCTTTTAAAAGCTGCTGTATCTTGCAGTCGATTGCTCTTTACCCTAATCCATCACTTGTGAAGTAAGCAGAAGTGCAGTATTTATATTCGGCAAAAATCGGAACCACCCCATTTGCTTTTCAAGGAACCGTAACAAAGATAGCCCAAAGTGCGCTGACAACATACTCAAAGGCAATTTTTAGGGCATAGAGCGGCTTGACCTCCAGAGGTCGTAAATGGTCAAACCGATCAATCCCCTACAAAAAGATTTTGCAAATGTTTTCGGTGCACTTCGGGCTTTCTGTGTCACAAGTTTCGTGAAAATTGAAGTGGTCGTTGTCTTCTACTGAATAAATCATATATATATATATATATATATATATATATATATATATATATATATATATATGGCTCAATATTCCCGTCGCTGTTGCCGCCGTGCTGTCTTCGCACGGCTTCAGACGGCCGCCTGTGGTGCCGGCAGTGACGCCGAAGTTCCTGGTGACGCCCAGCAACCCGACGGAGGCGGTGGCAGGGCGGCCGCTGCTGCTGGACTGCCAGGCGTACGGCCGGCCCGAGCCGAGCGTCCAGTGGGACCGCAACTCGCGGCTCAACGACCTGGACGAGACGAGGTCAGAGGTCACCCGCCGCTGCCGCTGTCCCGCCGGGCCGGCAGCAACGCGCCGCTGCACTGTGCTCGTGGGCAGGCCTGAAAGACCGGAGGGGGGGGGGGGTATGCCCCCTAAATTTCCCCAAAAAGAGTTCTTGGCCTCATGCAATTCGCCCAAAGTATGCAGGTGTTTCGCGATTTCCCACTGAAAATGTCATTTTTAGCTCAGGCTATCTCCTTAGAGATTTCAGTTTGCCCCCCCCCCCCCCCCCCAGTCACGATCTGTCCCCCAATGCCACAAACGTAGTCAGACCCATGGCTCCCGGCTTCCTCAATTAGGCTGAAGAGTTTTGTCAGCTTGGCGGGACATGGTGAGGCACCGTGCGATGCGAAAAATGTATCTTCGCCACCATGTACAGCGGAAATGCCGTAGACAATTTTTCGGTTTTCGCCTTGGCAAATTTCACTATCTTCGCCAAGGTAAAACAAAACCGAGTGCTAGCCATACGAAGTCCTTTGAGTGTCGCGTTTGCCCCGCAGGTTTACTAAGTTCGAGAACGGCAGCCTGTACATCAGTGAGCTGCAGATGGGCGACACTGCCCGCTACGGCTGTATCGCCGGCAACAGCGGCGGCTTCTCCCGCGAGGAGATCCAGCTGCTCGTCCGGTGTAAGCGCTCCCACGATCCTAGTCGTCCATTGCTTCCACTTAAATTTCTTGGTGTTAAGTAGTGGGTATGATGGCGCTTTTTGAAGCTTGCGACAATCGGGAATAATGGAGTGGTGGAGCTTCCCCAGCCCCCCCCCCCCCCCCCATTGGGCTGTGCCGACCACTTCACCTGGTCGCATTGATCCTCTCCAGCTTTACCCAGAGCAACCTTATCCCTCCACAGCTCTCCCCAGAGCAGTGCTCACCGCCTTTCTCAGCTCTCCCCGGAGCAATGCTCACCGCCGTTCTCAGCATTCCCCAGAACAGTGGGCACCACCTTTCTCAGCTCTCCCCAGAGCAGTGGTCACCACCGTACTCAGCTCCCCCCGGAGCAGTGGTCACCGCCCTTCTCAGCTCCCCACGGGGCGGTGCTGACCCCCGCGCCCCGCCGACAGCGTCGGAGGCTGAGCTGACGGGCCGGCTGCTGACGCCCGGCCTGGCCGCCGACGATGACGCCATGATGACGCGGACGGTGGCCATCACGGTGTCGGCGGCCGCCGCCTACCTGCTGCTGGTGGCCGGTCTCATGGTCTGGTGCCGCTACCGCCGCATCCAGCGCAAGCAGCTCTACCTGCGTGCCTCCGCCGAAGGTACCAGCGTGCTTCGTAAGTCAGAGGCGCGTCGTGTCGGCCTCACTGGCTGTTTCCATCAACTCCCGCTGTTTGATGTCCTTGGTGACGTTGTCGGGCATGACCACCTTGTCAGGAGATGCTGGTCAAAATCTTGTAGGTATTCGTCTATATTACGCGCTGCGGTGCCCTTTCGTGTCAACCGCGTTGTTTTTGACCTGCCTTGAAATTGTGCACTTGCTAAAACTATATTCATGCTGATGACTTGGCAACCCGCAATGTTCCCTAGTTTATAGAACTTTTCGAGATATTTGGCTTAGATTTCTCCACGCCACATCGAAGTTCACGGTCGAATCGTCTCACGTCTCGACCTCGGTGCTTCTCGCCGTCCCTGGCAGCGCCTCTGCCCGCCGTCCCTGACGCCACCCCTGCCCTCCAGTGGCCAAGCCGGAGCGGGCCGAGGTGGTGGCGTCGACGACCGGCGCCGGCGCGCGCTACGTCGGCTGTCCGCGCTCGGAGGAGGCGCACACGGCGGGCTCGGCCAGCCCGGCCGCGCGCCAGAGTCCGGCCCGCTACAACAGCTACCAGAGCATCCGCTCGGAGAGCAGCTCCCAGCCGAGCCGGCAGTCGCGCGCCAGCGCCGAGCGGCGCCCGCTGGACCGGCGCGACCTGCAGCCCGTCATGCCGCTCGGTGAGGGATCAGGGCACGTGTATCCCGTCATGCCGCTCGGTGAGGGAGCAGGGCACGTGTATCCCGTCATGCCGCTCGGTGAGGGAGCAGGGCACGTGTATCCCGTCATGCCGCTCGGTGAGGGAGCGGGGCACGTACAGCCCGTCATGCCGCTTGGTGAGGGAGCGGGGCACGTACAGCCCGTCATGCCGCTTGGTGAGGGAGCGGGCACGTACAGCCCGTCATGCCGCTTGGTGAGGGAGCGGGGCACGTGTGTCTCGTCATGCCGCTTGGTGAGGGAGCGGGGCACGTGTGTCTCGTCATGCCGCTTGGTGAGGGAGCGGGACACGTGTGTCTCGTCATGCCGCTCGGTGAGGGAGCGGGACACGTGTGTCTCGTCATGCCGCTCGGTGAGGGAGCGGGACACGTGTGTCTCGTCATGCCGCTTGGTGAGGGAGCGGGACACGTGTGTCTCGTCATGCCGCTCGATGAGGGAGCGGGACACGTGTGTCTCGTCATGCCGCTTGGTGAGGGAGCGGGCACGTACAGCCCGTCATGCCGCTTGGTGAGGGAGCGGGACACGTGTGTCTCGTCATGCCGCTTGGTGAGGGAGCGGGACACGTGTGTCTCGTCATGCCGCTCGATGAGGGAGCGGGACACGTGTGTCTCGTCATGCCGCTCGGTGAGGGAGCGGGACACGTGTGTCTCGTCATGCCGCTCGGTGAGGGAGCGGGACACGTGTGTCTCGTCATGCCGCTCGGTGAGGGAGCGGGCACGTACAGCCCGTCATGCCGCTGGGCGAGGGGGCGGGCCACTCGGTGGGGGAGCGGGGCACGTGTATCCCGTCATGCCGCTCGGTGAGGGAGCGGGGTGCCATGTCGCTGTGCGGGTGTGCCGACTTGTTGGCGGCCGAGGACATACAGGTGTTTGGGAGCGTGCGACCGTTCTGATGTCTTGCCGTATCACGTATTAGGGCTTAAGCAGACACTCCAGTTGTCGAGTATGCCGAGCCAGGAACTTGAGGCCGGTGCGGTACATCCTTTTGATCCTTCAGCGTAGAACATGCCCATGTCGTACAGCTGTACCTGTCCGTCTTCTTTGCTCTTGGCCAGTGCACGTTGGTCTTGTGCCGACGCCTACTCTGGCTGTTGTTTTTGGAGCCAGACCCTCTAACCCCCGGTGCCACGCCCACAGGCCAGGGCGAGTTCGGCGACGTGTACCTGGCGCGCGCGCGCGGCCTGGCCGAGCCGCCGGCCGAGGACGCCATCGTCATGGTCAAGTCGCTGCTGCACGCGCGCGACGAGGCGGCGCTGGCAGAGTTCGCCCGCGAGGCGGAGCTCTACGGCAAGCTGACGCCGCACGCGGCCGTGGCGCGCCTGCTGGCGCTCGTGCAGGACGGCGAGCCACATCTGCTCGTGCTCGAGTACAGCGACTGGGTGAGACGACCGGCGCGGCACGGGGGCGGGCGGGCTGGCCCGTGCTGGCCGTACTTTGTGTGAAAACGCGAGCTTACAGTTCACGTCGATAGGTGTGCATGTGTAGAGTTGTCTCCGCCTTAAATTAAGATGTGAAGCTACACTGTGTATTCACCGCCTGAGTGCCCATTTTATACCGTGGTGCTGTGACGAAGTATGCTGTTAGTTCGTCATTATGACGCTATTTTCAAGATAGTTTACATCATTCGTTTAAATATTTGTTGAACTTTATTCTGCATCTGCTTAGTTTCGCTGCAGCCTTCGCCCGTGTTTAACTTGAACCGTATTCTGCAGGGCGATCTGAAGCAATTCCTGCTCGCGACGCGCTCCGACACGCTGAGGGGGCCGCCGAGGCCTCCACCAATCAGCGCCCAGCACGCCTACAGCCTCTGCCACCAGCTGGCGGCCGGCGTGGAGCACATACACGCGCAGCGTTTTGTGCACAAGTGAGTTGCGCCACCGACCTAGCCCCCAGCTCTCGCTTTTCACTGCTATTGATTGGGACGTCGGTCAACAACGAGCACAATCAACACTGCCGAAACTTTATTTTGATACATTTAGTGTTTGTTTTGCTATGAAGTCAACGCAGTACGCCGAAATAGATATTCACACGACTTGGTTGTGTGAGAGAGAAGTTGGCCCGAGTGCAGTCGCACAGCAAACTGGCCGTGCTTGCTGAGCGCCTCCGTCCGGAGCTGTCTGACGGGGCTGGCCGCCGGACAGGGACCTGGCGGCGCGCAACTGCCTGATCACCAGCCGGCTGGAGGTGAAGATCAGCTGCGGCCGACTGTCGCGCGACACCTACAGCCGCGAGTACTGCCGGATGCGGGGCCAGCTGCTGCCGCTGCGCTGGCTGCCGGCGGAGGCGGCGCTCGAGGACGACTTCTCAGCCCGCTCCGACGTCTGGGCGTGGGCAGTGCTCTGCTGGGAGGTGTTCTGCCAGGGCGAACTGCCGCACGCCGCCCTCTCGGACGAGCAGGTGGCGCGCGCGCTGGCGCGGCACGGGCCGCCGCCGCTGGAGGTGCCGGCCGCCGTGTCGCCGCCGCTGGCCGCCGCCATGCTCCGCTGCTGGGCTCCCTCGCCGCGCGACCGGCCGGACATGGCCGACGTCATGCGGACGCTTGCCGCCCCGGAGGAGCCCGAGTGACGCCGGGGAGTCAGTGATGCCGGGTGTAGCTTCGGCGTCTGGGTGTGGAATGACGCTCGAATGTCCAGTGACGCTAGCCGCCGCAGAAGAGCCCAGGAGACGCTGGGAAGGCAGTGACGCTGGGGTGTAGATTGAGTCTGGGTGTCGAATGATTCTGGATATTGACTGACGCTGGATGCTTATTGGCTCCGGGTGTAAGTAACGACGTCTGCCTTGGGTAAGCGCTGAGTGACTCCGGGCGACAGGTGTGGCCGCTAGGTGCCCCTGATAATGGACGCCGTCAATGGCGTCAAAAGACGCTGGGCGAGACCACGGGAAGCTGAGCGGCACAGCTGGTTCCAGGCGGGACGTGGCAGGCGAGGCTGCGCAGTTGCGGGCCCTAGTCAGAGCCCCAGTGCCATGCGCATGCGCAGAGACAGCACACACATCCTGAAGGTGTATTAGGGCTGCCGTTGCAGGAGATCTCTTGGGCTGACCTGGGCACGTGAGAATCGAAACACTGGTGCGGTACGGCGATTAGCAACTGTATTAGAGAAGAACTCGTTTCTGGGTGGATTTGAACAGTCAGGTTTCCGTGGGCCGAGAACGGCGGGAAACTAGTGGGATCGATTGTAAACGGCTCAGGCTTGCTGGAAGGATGGAGGTGAAGGAATATTTGAAGCCAGCCATTCTGGAAACAACGCGAAAGAGCAGACCTCTCAGGTTAGTGTCGATCATGTTCAGCTTCGCGTACTATTCCGCTGAAGCCTTCAAACACTTAAATTGCATAAGCACACGAGATGTCCAGGTGGACTTTCCATATTCAAAATGGTTTATCTTCGCTGCTTTGGTGAAACGAACTGTCTACGTTTTCCATGACATTTAACTGTTTGATATCAGACGGGACTTATTTATTTTTTAATCGTGTAAACAACCTATCGTTGTCCGGCTCTGTGTGGATGGCCAACTGGATAATGTACGGACGTGAAATGCCTCGCAGTGCAATACACAGCAGTGTGTTGGATGTTCCCGCTGTCACTTTGCCTGCATGCCGCGTTCCAACTGAACATAGGCCGTGTGTTGTATGTGTGTCCGGATAGTGCGACGATTGAAGTCAATTAATCCAGCGGCTTACTAGGTGACGTTTGTGAAGTGCGTGGGCAGTGCCAGAGTGGGTTGGCGGACCGTTCTGTGCCCCGCTAACACCGGGTGGCCATCCGATCTGTTGCGACTGCGAGCACGCGTGGTTCACCACATCCCTCCTTGCCGGTTACAGTCTTGGTTGCTCTGTGTTCTCTGCTTGTATTGTGTTCTCTGCTCTGTGTTCTCTGCTTGTACTGCTATGCATTCTTTGCTGCTTCAAACGGGTTTCTGACTCTGAAGTTTGCATTTGCGCGTCCTCGTTGGAACACGCGAATGTCGTACGTTCGACAACTCATAACGGACATGGCCAAAGAATGTTATTCAGCTCGTGCTGAGTGGTATCGATAATCTACCCAGCACAGAAAAGATGGGCACCAAGGCCCAATGCTACAGTTGAATCGTGTACTGTCTAAATTGCCCCTCAAGTAAATGGTCCTGGAAATTTTTTCACAAGAAGTGGCTCCATTTGTGCTATGTAGCGATTGCATGCGGCCCGTTCGATGGTGGTGTAACAGGTTACCTACACTTGAGGGTATTCATTGAGGTGTGTCCTCCCGGTGCGACCTGTAGTTCATAAGCCAACGATGTAACGTCCCGCGCACGTCTCCAGGCGCCGTTCGGTTCACGACGCGGCTGCGCCTGGTGATGCGTTACGGATGCTTGGAGGTCTCAAAGCCTAGTCATTTCCCTACAGGACAGTGCGAATATGTTGCAGTGATGGTCGTTGTGCCCGTTTCAGTTGTGTTCATTATCTTGCATGAAAAGGCCTTTAGTTTCGCAAAGGCACGTGTATAATGTTTTGTGAACGGACCTCCGGTCCCGTACCGGTGTTCGTGAGTCTGTTCTTTGTATTTTTCATAATAAATGCGTTGGCATTTTTTAAACGTTGTGTGCACTTACCTGCCGTGGACGGGTCTTCTTGACACGCTGTGCCCGTCCGTTTCGGACGGCCGGACTGGTGCAACAGGATGTTTATATATTTTTGATCCGGCGTAAACTACGCTGTACACAGAGTGACGCCCGACGTCGTCATGCCGAACGCCGTCGGTCGGATGCTGCCGAGTGTCGGGCTCGGGTCCGCCTAATCCCTGCCACGAAATGCAGCGGCGCACGATTTCGCGCAAAGTGAATTCGTTTGAGGCTCAAGCGACCCACCGTTGACCTTTGCCAACGGTGGATCTTTTCATTCGGCACAATGAGATCGTGCTTTGAGTATATTGTACACCTATCGAACCAGTGATTTGACCTCTTGATCGCGGAGCGTAAAAGCTCTTCCCCCCCTAAAAAACATAAAAACAATGCGCCAGGGACGACGATGATTATCCAAATGATAGAGGGGGGCGGTACTTTTTTGTTTTCGCAGTCAACACCTATGAAACCAACGCTACCCTTTTCAAACTGTGCTTGGGGTTTGTCCCTTGACCGCCTGGTTACCGCGCATGGCTTGTAATGAAGCTGCCGACAGAGCAAGGAATGATGCCGAAAAGTTCCACATCACAATTTTGTTCAAGGGGCATGATAAGTACAGTGACGCCGAAAACGGCAGCTCTACAGCATTCATATTAGCGTAGCCGAAACCTCCAAGCACCACATTCACAGCTAGAAAGAAGCAAAGTATCAGGTGATCACCGCATAAAGTTCCCAGGTCCCGCCGAGATTTGAACTCGGATCGCAGGATTCAGAGTCCTGAGTGCTAACCGTTACACCACGGGGCCAGTGGGCAGGCAGGTCCTTATGCAGAAAACAGTCGAAAATGAATTCATTTATGCCAAAACGATGCACTTTATCTTGAATTCTGAATGCCTGTTCCTGTCGGTTCCTTCTGAAGTGTTGTTTGATAGTGTATCGCTCCTGCTATGATCAGCTGATGAACATAACTAATTCACAATGCATTATGTTTTTACAAACACACTGTATCCATTTGTCCAAAGCAGTTGAAAAGGACCGAGATGAAAATCCCTCAACTAATATGCCGCTTATTCTTATTTACTTTTCACTTTTGTCGTTCCATCTCATGATTTTGAGTCCGTAGAAGTTTGATGTCATTGCTGCAGAGACGCCAGGACGATTTTAGTGGTGTGGTCTCCGGAGTTTCTCTTTGGTCTTTTAACCTTACTTTACCTTACCTTATGGTGATCGGGAATTATAAAAGGCCATTAGGCCTGAAGGTCCCGGTCTCGTCAGGCTTCTGGTCCGGTAACCAAACAGTCCCAAATTATGGATAGATATAGTGTGGGACGTCCCTCATTATGTCAACCCAGTGCATATCAAGCCTAGACTTGAACTGGTCAACTGAGGTTGACGACATGACCGGGCATGGAATAGCGTTCTAATCGTTGACAACCCGCGTGCTAAACGAGTTATGATGGACGAGAGTCCTAGCTCGAGGTTTTTTGAGCTTACATCGGCATCCGTTTGTCACCTCCGTGTTGGGCCTTGCCAGGAACTCCTCTTCCGAAATCGACATACCTCCGTGAAACAGCTGATACACTGTTACCACGTCTCCTCTGCGACGACGGTAGTACAGCGAGGGCAACTGAAAGAGTCTAAGCCTCTCAAGGTATGGCTGGCGCCTCACTTCATACACAAGCCGGGTAGCTCGTCGCTGAACCCGCTCCAGCCGCTTCTGGTCCAGTTTGCCGAACGGGCCCCAGATGACGTTGCCATACTCTAAATACGGACGTTCTAAGATCTTATAGAGCAATGGTAACGTGCGAGCATCGATGTTGGCAAAAGACCGCCTCACGACCGCCACCACCTGGTTGGCCTTGGAGATCGCTTCCGCCGTCTGCACGTGGAACTTGAGCCGGTAATCCACAAAGATCCCGGAGCCCTTCTCGGTGGTTTCGGTCGCGATTTCGGACGTCGTGTCAGAAGTAGGTCAGCCTCGGGTTGCAGTTCTCAATGTTCATTTTTTTTTTTGCAATTTGCTTCACTAAAGGGAAGCAGCCACCCCTTGACCTGCTGCAGTATAACATTGCTGGATATGTGTATTAATAATTGTTCAGCAGTCGCGCGCAACGTAAGAACCCAGCAAATGCGCTGTAGTTGGAAGTTGTCGCCCCGCCGCTGCGTCGGCGAGAGGGGGAGCTGAGTGGGGAGAGCCGGGAGCGGGGACCTGCAGCTGTTTGGCTAATATTTCGTTGCTATCTCAGAGAGTGATAATGTAACTAGGGACTTTTGGACCACTTTCCTGCGATTTAAGAATGTCTCCATTGAAGAGAAGCTTTTCAACATTTTCACGTTTTCACGTTTTGTTTACTTTAGCTTTGGACCTTCGCACAAGTCGTGCAGGAAAATGGTAATGAACTTGGCAGTACTTTAAATACTGGAAACTTCGGCGTAGGAAAATCACGGAACCTTAATTGCTGCTCCCCACGGTGCGTACGGGCGTCGGATCCGCGTGAATACGGCTGGTTGACATTGGGCGGGCTCAGGTTTGTGTCGTCCGGGGTGCTTATGCATCCATTTACCTGTAATTGGGCCTGTTTTGTTGCGTTAGAACAAGCTTTGTTCCGTAGTCGTTGAGTCGTTTGTTGGACATGGTTAGGAAAGAAAGCGTGGCGGGAGCGGCTGCAGTCAAAGTTCTTTCACCAGCGGAGACGTGAGAGTCGTTCTTAAATTAAGTTACACGTGGAGAAGGAGAGGGTTTTGTGATGGGGCATAACAGAAATGTAACAATGGAGATGGGGATTTTGGGCAGTGTAACTGCTACACCTTTTACATGATTTTGCATATGCAAGTAAATAGGCAATGTTGTCCTTGACATGGTTTTGAGAAAGTACTTCAACACAGAATTTCAGAATGAAAAATTGCCAGTTCTACATAGCATGCTCAGGTGCAGCTCCAAATCTTGCCCAGTTTTCAGACAAGAAATAACCTAACAACCATAAGGTTTCTCTCATGTCAGGGAATGCTGAAACACACACCTGTTATTGTTTGCATCTCTGGCTCAACTAGGGGCCAAATGGACTGAACTTTTTTGAGGGTACAACTCCTTACACATCATAATAAGCTCACAGACCATTTCACTCAGCATTTACACTGCAATTTTCTTCACCATGCAAGCCATTCTGTCTGCCTATGACATCTTCAAATTTGGCATTGTAACCAACTTCTGACATCTTGCATATCCTCCTGGTTGGTGCCTAGAGGATGTTTTTGACAAATGTGCTTTGCTCCAGATAATTGACCCAGATTGCTACTTGGAAAAAGATAGTCTTGGGGGGGGGAGGGGCAGTGTGCCAAGTGGGATGCTGAGATGAGAGTGTAGGTTGACATTGGTACCTTATGTTACAATAGAGCATTGTACATAATTTGTATTCTGTAAGGTAGGAAATATCATAGATAATCATAAAACAGGTTCATTTACACCTTTACCCTCAAACTTTAATATTTATGATGGTGAACACCTGAGTGCTCCAGAGATCGTTACAGCATGGCCAACATTTAATTTCTCTGAGAATATGGATTATAGTTTTTTGAAGAAAGTATGAAAAAACACCAGAACTAACATAATCTAATCTAATTTAACCTAACCTATCCTAACCTAGCATGACCTGACCTGACTTGACCTGACCTGACCTGGCCTGGTGTGACCTGGCCTGGCCTGACCTGACCTGACCTAACATGATATGACCTGACCTAATCTAACCTAACCTAACCTAACCTAACCTAACCTAACCTAACCTAGCCTAACCCAACCTAGCCAAACAACCTAACCTGACCTAACCTAACCTATCCTAACCTAACCTAACCTAACCTAACCTAACCTAACCTAACCTAATCTAACCTAACCTAACCTGATCTAACCTAATAACCTAACCTAACCTAACCCAACCTAGCCATGTCATTGTCACCTGGCAAGCCTCCCCACTCATCCCCCTGCAGCCTATGTCCTGGTAGGATCAGTGCCATCAGTGTGGCATACTGATGTTTGACTGACCTCTGCTACTGTTGTCTTTATCATATTTTGAGGGTAAGGTGATAAGTTGTTGATGAAATGTTCCTGTTTTATGATTTGTTATGTTGTGTTATATCTTAAAAACATCAATTTGTAAACAGTTTAATATTTCTGTCAGGTACCAATGTATACCATTACTGAGATGAGGTCTGTGCACAGAGCCAGGAGTACACTTGCAGTAAACCCAGGTGGACATGTTCCATGTGAGGTTTTTTTTTGCAGGGTGATCCTGGTATAGGAGTGCTTAAATTGTTTGTGCGCTTCACCCAAGGTTAATTTGTTTTGTTTTGGGGGTTTAAGTACTTGTCAACTGCAATGGTTATTTGTGCTGGGTTGACTTATTTGTATCAAATTTTGAATATATATATATATATATATATATATATATATTCAAGAATGCAAAGCATTGACCCATGTTTCTTACTTTGTCAGTTTGAAATTATCATGCTGATATTTGGTCTTCATTACATCTGCAGGCAGGCAAAATGTCATCATCAAGCAAGCACTGATAATGACCAAAGAATGTTTTTAAATGAAATGATTTGGTCTGCTACAGAAATACCAACTGATGTGAAATAAACATGATACTGACATCATGCTATGCATCCATGTCTGCATTAGATATACAAACTAATCTGAAATATACAAGGTAATGACATAACACCTGTCTCTATGTGCATGCAATGAGTATAGGTCTTGATTCAGCAAAGTTTAGATTATGCCAGTGCCAGCAGTAGCACCCAGTAGTGGCAACTTCTTTGATTGGTTGTCCCATTCCTCAACCATCAAAGTGTTTCTCTAAGTAGGGAAAAATAGTTGTAAATAATTTAGTTCCATGCAGTGTCATCTGGCAAATGTGAAAAAATAGTGCTTTTTCAAGGCATGAAATGCTGCTCATGGTTATATCATATAGGTTATCCTCAAACAGTGATTATGGATCTTTGTGGAGATAGCAGCAAGGAAGATTAGATTTCCTCTGATGTCCTCTTATGCATTGCAGGAGAGTTTACATTAGTTTTTTAGTATGAAGGGTGGCTGGTGGCTACCCACCTCCACCCCACCCAACACTTCACAGTGATACCTTTTGAATGATAATGAATGCCAGACTACAGCTAAAATATTGGTGGTGTACTTACTCTCAACCTGATACATGGGGCGGGGGTGGTGTGACCCCCATCATTTTTTAAGATGGCTCTAGAATGTTGTGTGATTGTGCCCAAATTTTTTAGCAGCCTGCATGGGGTGTTTGATTGGGTGTTTTGGCACAAGAAACATGCCCTTGGCATTTTGCGTTCTGAAGCAGTGATGGTTTTTGAAGACCATTACAGAGATCTACGGCCAGCTTGGGCGTCGGGCGGCAACCGACGATGCTGCAGAACGGGCGTGGCGGGCCGACGTTGCCACGTTAACAGAGCCATTCGTCATAATATCTATGTTAAAACACATTTAACTATACTCTATTGAACTCAGAGCAGAACAAGGAACAGGGGTGTTGCATCATCCCTCCCCTCAACAAGTTCGCGTTTAAAAAAGTGACGAATCATGGCGAGGGTGAATGAGTGTGGCTGAATTAATTCATCAGGATTTGGTAGGAAATGGCTTTTTGGATGAAATGTTATGCACAAGCTACCAATGCAGTGTTTTGCCTTTGTATTCAGGCACTTTGAGCGGTTTGCACATTCAGCTCCTGCGTGAGGCCCGGGTTCAAACCCGGGTTGTGCTTGGCCCCGAGTGTGAATATGGCTACTGCAGTTGCTAGCATTGCAAAAGGAGTGAGCAACTGTGTGTGTCACATTAGCATTTGAATAAAAGTTCCTTAGGCTGCCCTGTTATGCAGCAGCCAATAATTACTTTAAATCCCAAGGTGAATAGTAGTGATACTTCAGGGTAGCAAATTTGAAAAGATATAATGGGGTTATTCTGTATTCATATCAGTGGTAGACAAGGAAGCATAGAAATTCAGCCCATCAGGAGGGTTTTCACAACCAGTTAGCTTATGACAGCATGCTGCTCATCTTTGGTGCAAAACGACTTTCAGCAAAGTGAGTAATTATTTTATATTTAAGGTGTTAGAACAAATTGTGGTCAGCTGCACACACTATCATCTGATTTACTGTTGAATACAGCGAGCTAGGTGAAGCCCTACTTAGCCATAGGATCCAATGACTATATATATATATATATATATATATATATATATATATATCTATATCTATATATATCTATATATAATATGTATGTATAGTATAGATTTTTCTGCTTGTGAGTGCATGTTTGAGTGAGTTTATGTGCTTCTTCAGACATGCATCATTTTGAGTGGTAATGGTACATTTTGTTCATGTTGTGCATGTTGTGTTCATTGACACACCACCTTTTTATGGATACGTGATATGTTTATGTATTTCTTGTACATGTATCCTGAATATGTAATATGTCAAGTTCTCATAGGTGTATCCTGCTGGTACATGCCCTGTGCTTATCTGTGGATCATGGGAACTGGTGTTAATTTAGTTCATATGAGTTATGCTCTGATATTGCATTTTATAGTGCTCATTGGCTGTCACCGGTGCCCACAAAATACATGCATCTGATTTTTGCTATGCTGCTTTTGGTGAGATGAATATGGATAGTGGACAGAAATATTACTACTAGTAATTGATTCCACATTTTGAACTTTGGTGGGTGTTGTACAGGGGAAACTCAGTGGATCCTGTTAGGAAATGGAAATGGACTGTTTGAAGGGCTGTAGCTGCTTAATTTCATATGGATTGCTGCCTCATCATTAATGCACGAGCCAGCATCATTGGTAGATGGTCGTTCCCTGCAAAGATGTTTGTAGCATTTTCCATCTATCAACTGTACAAACGGATGACAGTGGAGGAATTTGTTAGGCATCAATGCATGCCAAATTCGTGAACCGAAATCGCTTCAGATGCGCCGACGGTGGACTGGGTCGAGCAGACCGTCCGTCAGTCATAAGCCGCGACTCTCCATGTCGTCGTCAGTGCTGACAGTGGGCGCCATCGGACAGGCACCGGCATGACGTCACCGGCCGTCGCGCAGCCGGCCGGTGGCGAGGTCTCGTTCGCCGACATCCTGGAGGAGGCGGAGCCGGCCGCGCCGACGTCCGAGATGGCGCCGGACGGAGAAGGTGCCGCGGCCGGCCCGGCCAGCGCAGCCAGCGCGGGTGAGACTGTGGAGACCCCTGGCGGGCTCCCGTTCTGCGAGGGCGCGGCAGCGGGGCGCGGGGAGCCGTCGGAGTTATTGGGTGTCTGGGGAACGCTTGGCGCTGGCGCGCACCAGCCGTGTGCTTCTGTTGCCGACGACGCCGCCGCCGTCCCATACGCGACCGTCAGCTTGACCCGGCCTTCCACAGCGGTGGAGAGGGCCACGGGCGGCGAGGCAGACTCAGCAGCCTCGGCTCCCGCTACCAGCGCGACTCCGACGCTCGCAACCGCGCCGACTCCCGCCGGACCCTCCACGGTGCCGGCGCCTGCTCCCGGCTCCACACCAGCCCCAGCACCTGCTGCGAAACCGGCGGCGGATCCCGCGTCCAAGCCAGCCCCGACCCCGGCTTCTAAGCCGTCGCCGGCTCCGGCGGCGCGTGCGATCCCATCGGACGCCGTGCCGGTGCGGGAGTTTGCGGGCGGCGCCGCGGTGGCGCCCCAGGTCGCGGACAAGCCGCTGACGGAGCTGGAGAAGCTCTGGAAGCCGGTGAAGGAGAACCCGGCCGACTTTACCGCCTGGGCGCTGCTCATCCAGTACGCTGAGGCCCAGGTACGGCTCTCTCCGCTGGCAGTGGGTGCGCCCGGCTGGCCTCAAGAGAGGAGTTCGTCGGCGAGGTCACTGCTGGTCCTGTTGGCTGTGAGCTCGTTGTCTATCGCCAGTTGTCGGTAAGCATGTTATTTTGGTATAAAACGCAGCTACGGTCAAGACACGGCAAGACATTCGTTTATTTTGCCAATGGATTTATTGTTTTGGTGCACGAACATCTGTTATGATTGCCGCGGTATGGATATTTTGTTGCGATGTGCCCATACGAAGCGAACGGTCCGACTTTTTCAGTGTTTCATGGAGGACATCCGCGAAGTGCTAAGATCGTTCCTGAGTCGCTACCCGTATTGCTACGGCTACTGGAAGAAGTATTGCGACCTAGAGAGGAAGCGAGGCACCCCGGAGCTCTGCAGCGAGGTGAGTCACCCCGGCTAGCGCGTGACGTGCCGGACTGATCACACAGAACGCCTGGCCATGATTGATGTATCAAATGGACGCGTCCGCCTGTGCGCTGTGTCGACTCACCGTGCTGCCCCATTCACAGCCCCATGCCAACAGCGTGCGGTCCCGTTGGTAACGGGCCGGGCGCCTCACAACAAGAGCCGCCAAATGTGTCTTACAGACTGAGCGCAACCGCCGTGGTAAGACCAACGTCTTTGCCGATTTCTTGGACAATTTTTCTCTTTGAACAAGGCCGTGCTGCCGCGCATGCCTGAGCACAGTACCGCTGCCCATGTCATGCTGAGCATGTCACGCCCATTTCGGCGGCGTGGCGCGGCGGCGCTGACGCGAGCTCGGCGCGCGCAGGTGTTCGAGCGCGGCCTGCGCGCCGTGCCGCTCAGCGTCGACCTCTGGCTGCACTACCTCGGCTACGTGCGCTCGGTGCACGAGCAGCGGCCCGACCTGGTGCGCGACGCCTTCGAGCGCGCCGTGGCCGCCTGCGGGCTGGAGTTCAGGTCAGCGACGCACGTACTGGGGCCTGTGGGCGTCAGGCGGGCTGGGAGGGGCGGCATGTGGTGTTAACGACGAAGCTAGCGGAAGTCAGGTTATGCCATTTAGTGCTTACTTGGCTTTGTTGGTGCTGAAGTTTTGCTGAAAATGGTAGTTGAAGTGATCGTTGGTGTGCTAGTGCTGTGCTTTGCACGAAAAGGAAGTAGGAGCGGACTAAAAGAGTCGCAGGCCTGCAGTCAATCTGTCTTTCCACCCCCGTCTGCTCATATCCTCGGAACTGAACGGATGTCTGCGCCGACTGACCGCATGCCTGTGAGCCGGACCTCGGCCTGGCTTGACCCTACCTGACCTGATCTCACCCCACCTCACCTCATCTCATCTCACCTCACCTCACCTGGCAGGTCGGACCGACTCTGGGAGCAGTACGCCAGCTGGGAGACTCAGAACAAGGAGGGGCCTCGCGCCCTGGCCGTGTACCGTCGCGCCCTCGCCGTGCCCACGCTCTCCTACCGCACTCACTTCGAGAAGTAGGTGCCGACACCTGGCCCCGCAGTGCTGGTCTGTCTGGACGGCCCCATTGACGTATGGCGCGGCATGTGCACGCGCACCACCGAACCGGCGGCGTCGATGTGCCGGGCGCACACTGTGCGGTGTTTGGCGCACACGCGTATGTATGCGGCGGCAGTAAAGCTGCCGACCTAGTCCTCACCTATCGAGTGTTGTGTTCGTGGGCTCGCAGCCGAGCCCTGTCGTTCGGAGAATGTGTGTGACGTCAGTGCAGCCGACGTCTGACCTCAGTGATCGGCGCGCCCCAAAACCCCCGTAAACAACAACCGGAGGAGGGGGGGGGGGGAGGGGGCTTTCTGTGCGCGGCGCGGCCACACGTGCGCCATCAGTCTGTAGACGTGTGGCGCCGCGGCGCCCGTGGCCGGGCCGCCAGCCGGCAGTAGTTCAGGGGCGATACGCCTCACGACTCACGTGACATAAATCTCACTTGCGCCGTCAGCCTGGAGCAGTTTGTGGGCGAGACGCCGCCGCAGGACCTGCTGACGGTGGAGGAGTTCCTGGAGGCGCGCCGGGCCGTGCTGGCCGAGCTGAAGGCCTCGGAGCCGGCGCCGGCCCAGCCGTCCTCGGAGCTGCTACCGCCCGGCTGCGACGAGGCGCCGCCCGGCCTGCCCGCGCCGCCCGTCATCCTGGTCAGTATGCACGCAGGGCTGCACGCTGTGCACTGGTTAGTGCAAAATTCTCGCGTTCTCCTGTCGCCCGTCGCCATTGAAATGCTGTGCCAACGCCACGTGGCGTCCAGATCATGAACGTCCTCGCGGCCCGTGCGAAGGACATCGACCCAGCCCTAAGCCGCCGAGCTCCGACCCGTGCCTGACCGAGCGCCGACGCCACTCCGCAGAGCTCCGACGACGAGGGCGTGCGGCTGCGCTCGCGCATCCTGGCGCCGCTCCGACAACTGCACATGGGCACCGAGAAGCAGGTGTCGCTGCGCTGGAACTACGAGGAGCTGGTGCGTGGCTGCGGAGGGGGCGGTGACCGTGGTCAGCGAGTGGTTGGGAATTGACAGACTGGTGTGGGCAAGTTCACATGATGGAATGCGCTCGTGCATTCTCTGCTGGTTTGTGTGGGCCTTTCGGCCATGCCACAGTGACCCAACGTTAGCACTTCACAATGCTATCCCGTATTTGCATTAGCGTTTGATTAAGTAGTGAACTGACGGATTGGTGTTCTCGAAGCCATGCTTGTATTATGTTCATGTCGGCCTGTATAAATAGAGAGGGCTCGCATGGCACTTCTCGTGCACATCAAACGAAGCTGTTTCTCTTCCCCATTTTGCATTATTTAACGTCAGCTTACGTAAAACAGGTAAGTCCCTTGCCCGATATGCTATTAATGCGTGAGATAGGCACGTTTGACAAATGTATTATCCTAACGTGCACTCGGGCGTTTCCGGCGAGTCCTGTTGTGGTGTTCCTGACTGGCTGTCGCGGGTGTTAAGCATCTTAGCGCTTCCGTCTAGCGCACGCCGTGAATTAACACCGTGCGTCCTTGGCAGATCAAGCGGCCTTACTTCCACGTGAAGCCTTTGGAGAAAGGTCAGCTGAAGAACTGGAAAGCATATCTAGACTTCGAGATTGAGCAGGGCGACAAGGAAAGAATCCGCGTTCTCTTCGAACGCTGCCTGATAGCGTGTGCTCTCTATGAAGAGTACTGGTTAAAGGTACGCAGTTGTCATGTGGTGGTCGGGCGAGGGCAGACATGTCATTACTGTGTTGGCTCAATCTGTTTTGATGTGCGATTGTAGTTTTATTAATGCAGTAAAAGCTATCACATTCTCTAAATGCTTTTGAGGCTATTCTGTTAAGTTAAACCTTCATCGACAACGGTGGCATATTATTGCACATGTATCGGTCGCTGTGCCTGCGTGGGCAAGGCGCCTGACGTCGATTGTTATGCCGCAGTACATCCGGTACCTGGAGTCCCAGGATCCGGTGGATCCGGACCTGATACGGTCGGTGTACGAGAGGGCCTGCTGGACTCATCTGCCCAAGAAGCCCACCATTCATATGCTTTGGGCCACCTTCGAGGAGAAGCAGGGTCAGTCACTGGACCTGGGTGTGGAGACCAGCTGGCGTCCTGCGGGCAGACAGGGCCAAGAGATCCACTTCATGGTGTCATAGTGGGGTACATTTACGGCTCGGTTGTGTGCGCTAGACAATGACGGTCAATGGGAGCGACCCGGAGCGTGTGGTGAGCGGCGCTGGGGAGGGCAGGAGGACCACCTGCCCGTGATCTCTTCACGGGGCCTGGAGAGACGCAGGGGGACAGCTGTGCTGGTGATGGGAGAGCGGGCCCGAGAAGACACCCCTCCGTACCTCCGCCAGGGGGCACGGAGCGGCGCTGGGCTCTGCTGGAGATGACTGCGGGCACTGACGCGCCGGTCACGGCCGCAGGCGACCTGGAGCGCGCGTCCGAGGTGGTGGAGCGTCTCTCGGCGCTCGTCGCGGCGCTGGAGGTGACGCAGCGGCGCATCAACCTGGCGCGCCGGCGCGGCCGGCTCGAGCTCGCCGAGCGCCTCTACGCCGACACCCTGAAGACCTGCCTCCACAAGGGCCAGGCCGTCGCGATGGCCGTCAAGTTCGTCCGCTTCCTCTATAAGGTCGGTGTGGCCTCGCGTTGCGGACAGCCGGCTCCCGGACTTCTCGCATGGGAGTGGCGCCGTTGTGGGCGGTTAGTTGTCAATTGAATTCGTGTTGTGGCTCCACGGCAAGATCCGTGAGTTTCACCGGCTTCATCAGTCGGTCGAGTTGCTATGGTCTAAAGATCACTTCACGCCGCACTGGTTTTGCGCATGGACTGGCCACTGTGGACATTTTGACAGCCCATAACGGCGGCGTGGGCGACACCTGTAGCGATGTGTCTCCTCGCCGTTGATAACCAACTGCTCGGGGGGCACACCGGGGGGGGGGGGGGGGGAGGGGCACCGACGTAACACCTGGGGCCGTCTTACTGCCAGCAGCCAGTCGGGTCAGCCCACGCCGTGGACAGTGTCGTCAACTGGTGCCTCCGTTCCTAGGTACGCGACGACCGGCCGAAGGCGGAGGAGGTGCTGCGCGAGGCGATCCGACACGACCCCGTCAACCAGCGCCTCTACCTGCAGCTGGTGGACTTGGGCTTCCAGAGCCGGCCAGTAGATGTCGCCATGGTGCAGGACGCGTTTCGCATGGCCCTGGCGTCGGGTCTGGAGCTGCGCGACCGTCTGCTGTTCGCTCACCGGCGGGTGGAGTTCCTGGAGGAGTTCGGAGAGGACATCCAGAGGTGAGAGTTGAGGGCGTCGCGGGCTGGAGTGGGGACAGGGGTCCAGGTGAGCAGAGGACTGCTGACATGACATGACATTCAGTGGCGGATTGGACGCAGCGAACAGACACTGGCCTTGTGATGTGCTGTTCAATGGTGTGTCACACTTCGTGATGGCGAACTGCGTTCTGGGACACGGTTGTCACAGTGCTTGCGGCTCCTCGTCTCGTAATCGTTGTCTACGCTATTTACTGGAATGGCTCCACCACTTTCTGCCTATCGTCTGTGCCCCCACCATGCGGTCTGTTTTAAGGATGCCGCGGCGCGCTACCTCCCTCCCCCCCCCCCCCCCCCCCCCACGAACCTTGACGGCGCGCCGGCCGCGTCACCGTCCTCAGCCCCCTGACGACAGTGTCTGGCGGCGCAGCCTGCAGGCGGCTCAGGAGGAGTACTCGTCGCTGGCGCGCGCCGCCAAGGCCGAGGCCAAGCGACGCAAGCAGGAGGAGGCCGACGACACTGAGCCGGGCCGGCCGGCAGCCAGCGGCGGCCCGGTCTCCGCGGCCGGCACCAAGCGACCCGCCGCGGCGGCCGCCACCGCCCAGAACGGGTCAGTGGCGGCGCACGTCCCGCAGCGGTCACGGCCGAGGGGAGGGAGGATGGGACGGTTTGTGTGGGGCACCGCGGACCCGTGAGTTGCATTGCTTGGACAGAACGTACGCTTGAAGAAGACAGGTGGTGTTGCACATCGCAAAACATGGTGGATAACACATTGCCATGCAACGGTTTAAACTCGTGACGATGCATGGAAGTAATGCTCGTCAGTATGCCCCAAGCCGTGTTGTACTAGGACTCAGTCAGTAATTCTACAAGATTACACCACAGTCACAGCTGCTCGAGTCATCTGGTCTATGTTGTTTTAATAGTGGCACTGGTGTCATAATCCACTACGATATCGGAGAATGGTATAAATGTATTATACAGCGGGACTCGTTATCATAATTTTCTGCCAACTTGGCAGTAGTAATTATCCCACATTTCTGCACTAGTTTTTGTGAAGACTGGTCTGGTGTAAGGATGAAAATCTCTCCGTCTTAACGGGCTCTAGCGAGCGTTATCCCACGGGGAAACATTCACGGAGTATGGGAGTCGTCAGTTTGGTCCTCGTTGGATTGGTGGTCACCTCACGTGCGCCCTCCGCGGAGTCCATGACCTCACCCGACCTCGTCCGCGCAGGACGGAGAAGCGGGCGCGCGCCGACGGGGCCGCCGCGGCACCCGCGCCGACCGTCCAGCAGACGGCGGTGCGACCGACCAAGCCCGCATATCAGGCGCCGCAGCCGACGCCGACGGCCGCCGCGCCGTTCGCCCAGCCGCCGCCGCCGCCACAGCAGCAGCAGCAACAGCCGTTCGGCGGGTACGGGCACCCACAGCAGCAGCAACAGTACTTCGGCGGGTACCAGTACCCGGGCCCCGGCGGCTGGAACTACCCTGGCGGCCAGCATAACTACAACCAGTACGGCCAGTACCCGTACCACTAGCGGCGGCGGTGGGACTTGAGGTGCGACGGGTAGTCGGAAGATGGCGCTAGTGTGCAGGTGTCCTGTTCAGCCGCGCGGTGCTGGGTGTGAGGAGAGCGGACCTCGGGCGGGATAACGGCTCCGCAGGCCGTGTGGTTTTGTACTGAATTCCGTTCTTGGTGTAACTCTGTCCGCCGCGCTTCGTGTAACACTGAACAGGCAGTGGGTAACTGGTTGCTGTTGCGTAGCGCCATTTCTTCGCTAATGTGGTTGCGTGGGCTAAACCGGTGTGTACCGCGCAGAGCAGGTCAGAGAGCGGCGGTGCTCTAGCGCGAAATCAGCTGCCATGACAAGTGGCATCATTGCCGCCGGAGTTGTGACCTGGTGATATTGCCATCGTCACATGTTGTGGGACTCGAGTGCATCCCCGCTCCATCCAAGCGCCGACTGCTTCTCTGAGCAATACAGGTGATAGAGTCGCGTGTGATGCAGCTGTCTTCTTGTCTTGGGACTTCCTTGTCAGCATTCTGTGCGGATATCAACCGCTATGCAGTGCGGGTTTTTTGTCAAGCCATGTTACTCTTTGACGTCATTAGTGTTGCGATCTCGCACGATTGTGTCGTGCACTATCAGAGCGACAAAGGCGTTGACCAATCTCTTAAGATGTCCCCGACACCACAGCCGGATGACGATCAGAACGACAAAGACATCTGCCAATCTCTTAGATCTCGCCGACACCACACCGGGTGAACGATCAGAGCGACAAAGACATCTACCAGTTCCTTAAGACGTTCCCGACGCCATACCGGATGACGATCAGAGCGACAAAGGCGCCTACCATTCTCTTAAAATGTCCCCGACACCACGCCGGATGACGAGCAGAGCTACAAAAGCGCCTACCAGTCCCTTGAGATGTCCCCGACACCACAGTGGATGACGATCTGTGGTGTATGCAGGACATCGCAATGGAAAGGGCATGATTCAAGACTTCGCACTGAAACCGAGTAGACCGCGCTGCAGGTGCGCTCTGTTGTAAAACAACCTATCACGCTCGGGCACGCGTGCCGGGGCTACTATGTGTGTACACCCCCGACTACGGTGGTATAGGTGATGAAAGTGGCGTCGAGCTTGCTCATTGTGTCTCGCGTGTCCAACAAGTGACAACGCCACGAGTAAGGCCCTGAACGAGGTTGTAGAAAGGCTATGAACCTCGACAGTTCGCGCACCACAGAAAACGTTACTTTGATGAAAGCTTATTGACTGGATAAGTGATATGTAATATTTCCGTCCTGTAGTTATCCTGGTTTGGCAAGGCTATCAGCGAACGACTGTGAATCAGCGCATGTGTTCTGCTTGGCCAAAGAGTGGAAGAATCCCAACCACTCAGCAGTCAGTAATTAGTCAGTTTAGTCGGTGGCGTGCCACCCGGTCACTAGAAGCCAGTCAGGCTTTGGTGGCGGTCAGTTACGTCATACAAGACAAGTGAGATCAATTAGGTGGCCACAGTTTACGAGCTTGCATCCGTAGTTGCAGACATCCAGTCGACGACCATCACTTCATGCCTTGTTCCGGACTGAACTGAACTTTCTCTCGTGCGCAGTATGTGAGGAGCGACGCCCTTCACCGATTTATTGGCATACCTTCATGGAATGCAGGTCACCTGCCGGCCACACATAAAAGGTCACTTGGGCAGTAGCTTCGGCTATGTCCTGGCCCCGTAGGAAAAAGTCATCTTCGCTTCTTACGACGATTTCAGTGGCGCACAGATCATCACGACAGTGATTTCAGAAGCATCAAAGCCACAAACGGATATCTCAACATGCACAGCAAGGCGACAAGTGGGTACACTGTTGCGGAGCCAACGGGTATAGCAGCCGCATGCATAGTGCTGAAACCTGACGGTTGTTACTGAACTCCCGCATTGTGTTCGGTCACGTACAGATCACGAATCCAGTAAACAGCCAAGCACAACTAACGCAATTCGAGCTTCCTATTAAAGCGCGCAATTATATTTTCACTGCTGTCAACAGAAGAGGACTCACATATGGCACTTGATGCTCGGCGCCGTAAAATCTTGGATTAAGGTGAGGATCCTCTGTTTGTTTACGCCCAGTCTTCGTAGCCATTAATTATTCAGAAAACAATGTCCCTAATCCTCGCCGAAGTTGGCCGGACTATTTTTCGACGTCATCGCAGCGAGAGCGGAGCGTAAAAAGTTTGGCTGATGCGGAGGTGGGAAATTAGGATAAGCACAAGCAGAAGCAAGCCGGATTTATCCATGTTTTTTGCTTCGAATCAGCGAACGTTAAGACAGTAATTTGTGTGTGGACGTTCCTACGCCATCTTAGATATGGCAGTAAGTGATGGCGTTGCCGCATTATGGGCGAGTAAATTGGACTAATTAAATGGAAAGCGCAGGAAAATGTCACTCACAATTTTTATAAGCAGTCACTTGCGACGGGCATTTTCTGTAAATGCACAATGACCCATCGGGAGACACCACGCAGCGCCCACGACAGACATCCGTCCCAATGCGACCGACCTATCCGTGATGTGGACAGCGCTGGACGATTTTCAGCCTCAGATCAGTGCAGCCGAATTCTTTTTAGGCGCCCCTGGAATTTCTCAAACAAGTCAAACCAGGAGGATGTCTTACATTCCTCATTATTTCCATGGCACGTGTGATCTGACAGTCGTTCTTTAGATATTCCAGACGACAAGCAGAGGCTGGGGCGTTCTGTCACAAACAATGGCGCATCAGATGGGCCGTAAGTGCCGCCTTAGTACCACGATTTGCGTATCACTGACGTAACGCACGCGTCAATGTTTTGGGGAAATGTGCTTTTTTTCCGAGCTTCCCGTTCATCCATATTCCATTTCGCCGCCTCCGACTTGGCCGTGACGCACCAGTTTCGATGTCCGACGATCTCAGAACAGTTCCCGAAGCCAGACGATGCTTGTTTCAATGACGGGTCTTATTAACAAGTGTTTAGGTAAGAATCAATTTGACCATCGACGGTTTTTCTAAAATTATTTAGCGGAAGATGGGGCGTAGCCGCAACAAACGTTGCATAGCTTTAGGCATTTAAATAGTGGATCCTTCGGCATGAGACCTTAGACGTACCTAGGAGATCGCCGCCTTACAGAAGGTCAAATTAACACGCACCCGGGTGCTCGGTTGGATACCCTTTGCTCAAGTGTGCGGGTCAATTTGAGGCCCCTGAAATCTCAGGAACTAAAAGGGTTGGAGACACCAAATCGACAGAGTGTGTGGGCCGGTATATGAACGCACTTGTTTCTGGGTGATGGAATTTGGGCCAAATAAAGTCAGACAAGGTCAAAATTCAAGTTGTTTTACAGTGTGCCCAGGTTTAAGCAAAAAGGTCACATGCTAATTTAAGGTCATTAATCTTGCCTAGCCTTTCAAAGGTCAGTGACCAAAATCATGAAGACTGCTTTGAGTTTTGCATTTGAAAAAAGCTTTTAAGATAACGCTAGGCGGTATGTTCCAAACACAAAATGTTGACCTGGGTCATTTCAGGCCAGTAACCGACTCTGACCTTAAAGAAGCCCATGGAACACGTCAAATATGATTCCTGTTATCAACAAATTTGAAACAAGCACCAGAAGCCACCCTATACAGCAGGCCTCTAGAGGAACAAAACAAGTTGGTTTTGGCCTTGGTCTGACATTCATACCTGCGCCTAGATTAATGGAATTCGGTCAAGAAAGTATCTCAGAGATGTATGGCTTCGGCTAACACTCAGTTGTTTTATCAGATTGAACGATTCCCTAGAAACCGACTTCGCTTAATCCATGACCTGACTTTGACCTGCCGTAGGTTAGCAACTTTACAAGGTACATCTAATTTGTTGTCACCACACCATCTGCTATTCAATTGTGTACAGCTAAACAAAACGACTACGCCGAGCCGTTCGGAAACCGACGCGACGGAGACAAGTGAAACGGACGCTTGAACCCAGGAGGCTATGCGCCCTAATACAAGACAAGGCAAGATGTTCGGAAACCATTGCGGAAAAAAAAACTATTGAGAGGTGGGGTCAGTTTGACCCCCACCCGAGCGCGTGTCAAGGTTGCCGCTGTCATCAAAAACAGTTTCTAAGGAACTATTCAATATGATGCGACAAAGGAGTGTTAGACGAAGCCATGCATCTCTAAGATAGTTTCTAGACAATAAGACGATTAAATTCAGAATAAAGACAAAGTCCACTGACCTTGAATCTGGTATTAAGGTCAGAGCAAGGCCAAAACCAACCCCTTTTTGACTGGAGAGCTTGTTACACGGGGTAGTTTCTGATGCTCATTTCAAATTTCATGATAGGAACTGCAATAGACATATTCCATGAACTTCTTGAAGGTCAAACTAAGTCACCGACATAAAACTATCCGCGTCAATATTTTGCTTTTAAGAAGATGCTACCTATTGTAAACCTTTTCGCTTGTTCAATTAAAAGAAATATTAAAATCATTTCGTAGCTTTTTGATTACCATGAACTTCTTAAGCTTAAACGAGCTCACTGACCTAACACAAACATCACTGGCGTTTTCCTTTACAAGGTATTGAGGTTTAAGGCGGTTGCATGAGGTCTACAGGCACTTTGAACACCAAGATGGAGTTTGACCTTGTTTGACGTTATTTGACCTGAAGTTCATAGTCTGATAACCTCAAACCTTGAAAAGGTTACTTCACATACAAATCAACTCACCCTGTGAATTTGGGTCCTCAAGGTTTTTATTTATTTAAGATCTCAGGGGAGGGGACAAACTGACCCCGCCTTTGCCTGTGGTATTCAATCAGTGCCACCCAATTCATATGAACATTAACAATACAGATTCAGACGCGTTATTTACAACCAAGTCACATTTGTGTTCTATGTGTGTTGCAGCTATGGGGTTATTTATTGCATCTATTTTTTAAGTTAGATAGCGCTAGCTTTGTATATGTAATATATATATATATATATATATATATATATATATATATAAGTACTCATCTAATACTTTAATAATCCATTAGGCCCCGATAATGCAAGATCGTGGTGCGGCAACCGACCAAACAGCACAAAAAGCTCGGTGTGACAAATTTAAAGGTGGGCGCCAAAACAGCTGTCACGTGAGCACAAGAAGAAGAAAAACTTCAAATTGGTGCAGGATGACTTGCAAAGCTGCCAAGAAGACCAAGACGGATTTGTAGTGGGAATTGTCGCCGCAGGTGAAAGCTGGTTTTCGCTGTGTAGCCCAAAGGAGGAGCATTGAGGGGCATATCACATTTACTAAACAGAGACTTTGTGTTGTCTAGAGAACCCTCTTAGGACATAAAAGTTCACCAATAGTAAGAAGTGGGGATGGAGGATGGGAATGTATCATATAATGCATAACTCATATCTCATGTCTGTTTCGAAGTCTTCAATTGTGGAGACAGTGTGAAGAGAAGAAAGATTCACTTCCATGTGGAGAGCGGGACGG